ACATCAACACATAACAAATACACATTTGTAACATACGTTGGAATATATCTAACTCATCACGTTCCGTTCTTAGTTAGTGTGTTTCTACATTTTACCCTCATTATTATGTCTTAATTTTAGCTTAGGAATGCCTAGAATGCAATAAGGATGCCAAAATGTACTTGAACACATTTAACAAAACTTGCTGAAAACAAGGGTCCTGCTTGAGTGCAACTTCCCCCGCTCGAGTAGACATGCAATGTGTGAGGGGACGCTCGAGCGCAACTTCCTACGCTCGAGCACTCTGCAAATTTTGAAAAAGTACTAGTTATGCAATTTTCACGCTCGATGGTCGCTCAAGCGTGAGACTCATGTCCCTGCTCGAGCGCAGCTTTTGATGCTTGAGTGGTCTGCAAAAACATAAAACTTCTAGGAGCATGTATTTCGTGCAAAAACAAAGGTGGCTGCTTGAGCACAGAATCTCACGCTCGAGCAGAAACGCAGAATCTGAAATTTTCAGATTGCACTCTCAAGCTCCAAACTCAAATTCCACACCTTAAAACTCATCTTCTTGGGCCAAAATTATGGAAAATATATGAGAACTTGTAAAACATCATGGTTGAAGTTCATTTCATGAAATCAAGGCCCAAAAATAAGTCAATTGTGCAAAAATTCAACTTGAAATGTAAAAACATGCTATAAATACGACCTGTATGTATTCATTTGACCTCATAGCTTCCAAAACATGATCAAATATGGTCCAATGGTAAGAAATGCTATGTATTCTTCAAACCATGCTAGGATTATAATATGCATGAGAGGAAATCTTTGAAAACAACTTCAATTTGCTATGAAAAGAGCATGCATGCATGATATGGTCTTCCTACCAATTCATTAGCTCAAGATTTGATTAATTCAACTAAATTCTCTTGAATTCTTGTAAGAAATGAAAGCTTAGGGAATGCAAGTCTTACCTAAAATCTTCAATTCTTTGAATCCTAAGTGAATCTTGGTGAATCCTAGCTCAATCCTTCAATTGCCCTTTAGTTGCCTAGCAATTATTCCTTTTTTTCTTCTTAAAATCAATTCTCCCCTTTAATTTCCTCTTATTCTCACGTTTGCATGTGCATAGGCTCAAGAATGTGTTGAAATGTAATCAACAAGGATGAGTGGAATTATAAAAATGTGCCTTATATAGGCTTGGATTGAGTAATTCATTAATTAGGCTTAATTAGGCATTAACTTTCCTAATTTAATTATTCCGAATCGAATTTTAATTAAACCTACCATAAAATTTTAAAAATTCTAATTAACACATAAATCAAGTCAATTTCTGAATCGGATGCTGATAAGCCCTTCAATTCACAAATCAAAACAGAAACATGAACATATTTTCTTACGTTAAACAGATATAAACACAAATAATGCAACACACATGTAACTAATTTAGAATTTGATCTTAATAACTTATTAGACATATGAGATCATGGATTAACATTAATCATGGGTTGGGATTGTTACATTGCTATACTTGGGATGGGCTCTAAGGGCACCCCAAGTTTTGTAAAGAGGGGAATTATGGACAAAGTGGGCTTGGCCCAAAAACCACCACACATGTGCACGCCGCCGTCCGGTTAGGCGTGGGTGGGAGGTGTGGGTTGTGGGTCGAGTCCTAACCTTAATTTTTTGGACAAAATTTGTTTGAATTTTTTTTATTATTATTTTTTTCCCATAGTTCTTGAGGAAAACTTGAATTCCTAACTGGAAAAAATTCAAACATTTGCATCAAATTTCAAAATTCAAACCTGAATAGTGGCATCCCTTTATTCTCCGGTCACCTCTCTTCACTCTAATGGTTTTCAGGTTTGCACCTGTTCGGAGGGCTTCCAAACCCATTCGAACAGTCACCTTATTGCCTATAAATTCAGACCTTCACCAACCAATTCTCTCATTTGTTTTTCCTTCATTTTCTTTATATTACTCTTCTGCATACTATTCTTATATTTTCTATAAGAGAGAGATACAACTCAGTCTGTTCGCCAGACCCAGATTGTAGTGCTGCAATTTTGGGATATAGTTGTTGCATCCTGGGAGGTCGGCGTCATCTGTTCTCGAGCACCATAGCGAAGACGTAACAATCTTAAGAAAAGTGTGTCTAACACACACCTCGGCTGTCTTTCCTTTCTGCATTTCTATACAGCAATAATCTATAAGTTTTTTATTTAAAGTAATTCAGTGTGGGTTCTTGTTCTAGTTTTATACTTGAACAAGAAATTGCTTTCCTTCGTTCGTTTTCAAAAATAATTCTTTTCTGGGTTTCTAGAAAAATAAAGTTTGCATTTTAAAATTTATTTTAGAATTTTATTTCCAATTGTTTTTTTTTTAAATTTTAAATACACACAGTTTGCTATTTTATTAAATAGTTTTCCTACAAATACTAGGAATAATATTCTAACACGAGAAAATCAATCGATGAAAATATATAAATCCCATAGGGGGGCAAGATGCCCTAGTGGTAAGGGCGCACACGTGACTGTGTGGGTAAGGCGCACGGTCACGGGTTCGATTCCCCACTGGGTGAGTGCTTGCAGCAGTTTGAAAGGGGTACACGGCTTCCCCCGGGCTACTTACCCCGCAGGATTAGTCCTGGCTTCCTGAAAAACTAGAGGATTGGGGATACCTGCGTTATCAAAAAAAAAAAAGTACAAAATGAGAGGGAGAAATTGGCTGTCTGGAGGCAATCAGAGTTGCTGGTTCACCATTATGGAGAAGCTGGATTAATCCTTTGTGTTTATCTACAGTTTTGACTTGTACTTATTTACTGAGTGCATTAAAGGTGTGCACTGCTATTGCATTAGTTGTAGTGAGAAAGATATAACTTTTTAAAGGGCAATGTTTACAACCCGTATCTTAGTTCCTAGAACGTGGGACATCTTGAGTCCATAAGAGTCTTGAAGACTAGCATCCATTTAACATTTTTTTAAAAATTTTGTAGTAACCACTTTTAGTTTTTTTGTTTCATGTTAAGTGCAGGATGTTTGCTTCGCAGCTTACCTACAGATCTGGTGTTTGACAATCCAGCAGGTGTCAACCTCCAGCTATGAGAGTAGTTGAGATCTATTGTGTGCGTTGATGATAAGTTCCTTCCTCTGAATTAAGTTAAATCTGGCCAACAATTGATTATTTTAAAATTAAGACTCACAGATATTATAATGTCCCACGAAATATCCTTTTTTTCTCGTTAAAATAAATAAATTAATCAATCAATCAATCAAATCAAGGCAAACTCCATTTCTTAAAGAAAAAATGACAATATTAAAATGTTTTAAAATCATACTAAAAACTAGTTAGGAAAAAAAAAAAACTCAAGATTTGACTATGATAGCAAATAAAATCTTAAATTTATATTTGTTTCAATTTAAATGCACAAATTTTATAATGATATCCATTGTAACAATCCGTTTATATTCATCAGATATAACTAATGAATAAGAACAATTTACACAATTTAATCATTTTTCTTCCGGTTAACCGCCATCTTCCAGCTTTATCGTTGTTTATTACTAGCTCTCCTCACTGTTACCGCTGTATCCCTTTCTTTCCTGTCCATCACTACTCTCTCATGACTAGCTCACTCCCACCCCTTAATTCCTTTCCTAATCCATAATTATTGTTACTGTCCAACACCATTAATAATAAGTGGTTAAATTGTCTAAATTATCCTTATTTTCATTAGATATAACTAATAGATGGGTAAAATTTAGTACTATTTTAAAAGTCGAGAGCTTAAACTAAAACAACTAAAAATATTAGATAACGTTTGGTAACGTTAATGTTTTTGATTTATGTTTATAAAAATTTTATAAATTGATTTTTGTTTATTTTTAGTTTAATATAAATAACAAACGCTTTTAATTTGAACAAAATGTTTGAAAAATTTTAAAAACATAAACTAAAAAATATGTTTGCTCGAGCTAAAAATATTTATATTTATATTTATTTTTTATTGTTTATGATAATGGGATCATATACATTATAATTGAAAAAAATTTATTTGAAAATAAAATTAATTGAAAAAAAAATTATTTGAAAATAAAATTGTTAGTCAAATTTTAAAATTTTTGTTTAAAAATTTCTGTTAGTCAAATTTTATAAATTGACACAATCATTTATAAATTAAAAAAATTTATCAAACAAGTTTTTATGACAATTTTTAAAATTTTTGTAAATATAAATTAAAAATTGAAAACGAAATGATTCCCAAGGCCCTTAATGTTTGACTTATTATGGAGTCAAACTTGAATTTTTTTATTCATAATTTCTCATAATATCAAAAATAGGTCAAGTTTAGTTTTATTTTTTGAAATTATTTATATTTTTTAAAAAAATATAAATTAATTTGATAAAAATATATATCAAATAGATGTTTTTGAATTTTTAAAAATTATTCCTAAAAGTGTATAAAAGCTTACAAAAATTATTATTTTAAAACATAATCTAAAGAACTAATGAAATATAGTTTTTAAAATTGAGTAATGTTACACAAATAAAAAATTTATATATAATGACATGACTAATTGAAGATGAATTTATTTACAATAATGATATAATCACATTATTATTATAAAATTTTTTGAATGAATTTTATATATGTTTAAAATTTTTATATATTTTTGTAAACTTTTATACACTTTTTTTTGTTTAATAGTTTTCCTTTTTAAAAATTTTAGGCTTGTTTGGGGTACACTAAATAATACAAAAAGTCAAAAAGTCACTATCCTATTTAAGTCATATCATCTTATTTAAATCACATCACCTCTCTAACACATCACATCAAACCCAACCCAAACCCAACTCATATAAGCTAATAAGTCAAAAAGTACACTTTTTTTAGAACATCTCAAACCAACCCTTTATGTAGTGCTGGAGCATGCCATGTCATTCACATTACCTTGGCAATAACGATTTCTGCCGTGGCATTAGCCATCTCCCAAACATAAAAGAGCATTGAGAAAGAAAAAAAGGACCCTCGCAAAGCCCGCATCAAAACTAGGGTCTTCAGATAAATTCCACTCTCCCTTCTCATCTTCACCAGTCAAAACTAGGGTTTTCGATCATCAAAACTAGGGTTTTATTTTTTTCCTCAAACGATGACAGGAAAAGCAAAGCCAAAGAAGCACACAGCGAAGGAAATCGCGGCGAAGGTGGACGCAGCGACGACGAACAGAGGCGGCGGAAAGGCAGGTCAGGCGGACAGGTCGGGCATCGAGAAGGGGGGACACGCGAAGCTGGAGTGTCCGCACTGCAAGATCACAGCACCAGACATCAAAACGATGCAGATTCATCACGATGCTAAGCACCCAAAGATCCCATTCGATGAGACCAAGCTCAACAATCTTCACGCTGTCTATGTCGCCGAGCCCTCCAAGCCTCGCCCCGGCGTTCGCGGCAGCTTGAAGAAGTGAACAAACTTTTCTGCCCCCACTTTGTTGGTCCAAAAAAATATCATCAAAACAATAACAACAATAATAATCATAGTGTCTTGTCTGCCAAACAAATTATATTATTCTGTTGTCTGTTTATTGTTGTGTTTGTGTTGGGGCATGTTTGGATTACATATGGGTATTTATGGTTATGGTTATGGAAGAAAGCATGTTTGGATTATATATGGGTATTGTTAGATTTTCATGCTTGTATTTCTTGTTTTTCTTTCATCTTATTGGTTACAGTTATTTTCTTGCTGATGATATGCATGATAAATATATACACACACTAGAGGTGGGCACACACTATGCTTGTGCAATTTGTAATTGTATCTCATATAAATATGGCTTTGATGCAGTTAAATCTAAGAAGGGGCTGGATGGATCTGAGAGAACAAGTTTAGAGCAATTACCATAGTTGGGGGCAGTTTGGGAAATAAAAATTTGTGGCAGTCAATACCAACTCATAATTAGTATAGAAGATAGATAGATAGTATATATAGGGCTTTGCTTTTTGGTTATGGTTATGGTTCTTGTTTTTCCTTCATCAAACTGGTTGCAGTTAGGTCTCGTGTCTTTCTCGCTGATGGTATGACGGTATGCTTGATTGATATTTGTTTATACACACTAGCGGTTGGTGCAAACAATTTTCAGGTGGTTTGATGAATGAGGACATAGGTTAAATTGAAAAACTGTTCAGCAGTTAACAATTTTTTGGGCATTCTTGGAGAAAAAGAAAAAGTGACGGTTCCAAGTTCTGAGTTGTGTGCCTTATATAATAACATAGATAGGTAGTATAGATATATGCTAGAAGACTAACTACACTACCGTGTGCAATTGAAACTGTCAATATGACAATACAGGCAGATCATGGGTAGCGGGCAGCCCATTTTGATTTATTGATTTTAGTTTTTGGTCCGTACATTAACTGCTAGGCACAAAGCTTCACCATAGTGAATTGTGTGCTTTACTGCTTTATATAATAGAAGAATAAATGTGTTTTCTCTTCTCAGCAATAAAACAAAGCATTTTGCCCCTGCAGCTAACTTAGATTCTAATCTCTCTATCTTTTTAGACTTGAAATCTTTAGATATGGAGGAAGAGAAAGAAGACGAGTCCTCCTCCCTAAGAAGAGTTTCTGAGGATGACCGGGAATCCGAAACAGCTTCTTCTAAGGCCAGCACCTCAGATTCAGACGCTCAACAAAATCAAAAATCCGGTCAATGGCGCGGGTTCTTCCGTAAATTGAAAAAAGGACCAGCAGTGGGCTTGCATACCTTCCATCCTAGCATACATAACATCAGAATGCTTGCCACTAAAAAAAGCAGAAACGCAAGACAGAGCTTGCCTGTGCTGGAGGAACCAACTTTAGATCCTGAATTGTATTGCTTCAAGTCAACCTGGAAGAATTTCTCACTTCCAGAGCTTGAAACTGCAACCGAAAATTTCAGCCGTGGTGTGTATTTTCTTCATAATTTTTAATTTTTATAGTTCGAAAAAATTTCCGCTTCTTCTTAACTTCAGTAATACTACATATCCAGAATTTTACCCAAAAACATCAATGCGTGGTTTAGATTTATTCTCATCAAACTATTAGCCTTGGGTATGTTACTCTGGTGGGGGAAAAAAATATATAGGACACAGTGTGTCCCCAAAATGTCCTGCTGGAAAAAAAAAATGTGACATTTCCTCCAACGTGTCCATGTTTCATAGTGATCTTCATTATGACTTCTTTGCTAATGGCGTCTCTAAAAGTTGTTATGTTCTATACTAGGCTAATAAACATTTTCTGCCAATTATTTTTCTTCTTTCTGAAGAGAATGTGATTGGGGAGGGAGGTTATTCTGAAGTTTACAAGGGACATTTGGAAGATGGGCAACTTGTTGCAATAAAAAGACTGACCAGGGGATCCCCAGAAGAGATGACTGCGGACTTCTTATCCGAGCTTGGGATTTTAGTCCACGTCAACCATCCCAATATTGCTAATGTTATTGGGTATGGGGTTGAAGGAGGAATGCACCTCGTTCTTCATTTGTCTCCCCACGGGAGCTTAGCATCATTGCTTACAGGTTTTCTACACCATTTTGATTCTTCTAAATTTTAAAATCTTCTAAACTTCTAAAGAAGAAAATTTATGGATTTTTGTTTTTTGTTTTTAACTGTGTTTTCAGGTGCTAAGGAGAAACTAGAATGGGGCATCAGGTATAAGATTGCACTAGGCACAGCCGAGGGCCTTTCATACCTTCATGAGGGGTGTCAGCGAAGAATTATCCATAGAGACATCAAGGCTGCTAACGTTCTGCTTCGAGAGGATTTTGAGCCTCAGGTATCTCTTTGAACCCAAGGATGCTCACCTGATACACTCCTTCAGATATTATAGCTTTTTAAGTATCTACCTGATCAAAATATGCTTTTAACAAATTGTTTTTCTTAAATTATATTGCTGCTGTACTTGCTGCAAGGATAGAAAAGTGAACTTCAAATAACAGAAAACAAGTACTGAAGTCTTTTTGACACTAAGGCTGTGTTTGGTTCATAAATTTGGATAGGGATTCGGAAAGGAAAATGGAGAAAAAAAATTAGCTTTTATTTTATTTATTTCTCTCTCACCTTATTACCTTTGAAGATTCTTGTCTTGCTGTTAGATTCTGTGTGCAGTTTTTTTTGGCTTTGCGCTCCCAAGTCAAAAAAAAGTTAAAAAGAAAAATAAAGAAAATCATGGCATCTGATGCACGATGATTTCACGGATGGGTCCCAGCGGTCCCCGAAGTTCAACTATAGGATGGTTACGATTGACTAACTTACAATTTAAGTAGTTAGGTGCTCAACCCTTTGACATAATTTCCTTATTGTCGTCCTTATTATTTTTAATCCAATAAATTATGACATTTTTATTAAAAAGAAAATTCGTGATAAATTTAATCTAAAGAGGGTATAAAATATTAGTGTTAGTAAATATTTTTTTATTGATGAGAGATCCATTATTCGTGCAATAGTTTAGTAAAAAATCATTTTATTTGTTTTGAAATATACATTGTTTTTAATTTTATCTCTTAATTTATCTGTTGACTTTTACTGCCTATCGGTTCAAATTTATATCTATATGTTCAAACCTTTTCCTATTTGTTCAATTTTTATCTGTTTAATTTTTTCCCCTTATTTGTTCAATCTTTTTCCCTTATCTGTTTAAATTTATCTGTCCAAATTTTATTATTTGTTCAATTTTTTTATTGAATTCTATTTATCTGTTGGAATCTTTGTTATTAAAATACACCAAAGCTAATGTCTATTCAAATTTTGAACAGATATGTTCAACAACAAATTTTTTTTGAACCTATTTGTTCAATTTTTTGAACATATATGGAGGCACAAATAGATTTGTTTGTTTCTCTCACCACTTCTCTTTTCTCTCTCTATCTATTGAAAATCCATTTGTTGAAAATAAAAAAAAGAATCTATTTGTTGAAAAAGAAAAAAAAAAATTATCTGTTGCAATCATCAGCATCTCTTATTGCTCGTCTCTCTTTTTCTCACTCTATCTGTAAGAATGAAAAAGAAGAAGAAAGAAGAATAGATAGAGAGAAGCATCAATCTGTTTCATCATCATCATCATTACCAATCTGAGGGAATTAGAGGCTTATATGTGTGTATACACTTGTATCTATCTATCTATATACAGAAGAGAGAGAGAGAGAGAAATGAACCAAATTAACAAAATCACAGACCATTCTGTCGTCGCCAATCATGATGGCTTCTCAGACTGTGCAAAGTATTGCTTAATTTGCTAAAACTGTATCGATTTGTATTAATTTGTGCCGTTCTATCTACTAATCGCAGTTTAAACTTTAAAACTTACAATCTGCATTCGAAATTGCTCCGTTCTATTATAATTATATGTATATTCTTTAACCTATAATGAAATATTAAAATAAAAATAACTCTGTGTGAGATTTAAAATGTGAAATTTATTACAAATTAGTAGTTATATATATAAAAAATATTATGTAAAATTAGTTTTTGATATATATATATATGAAAAATATTATGTAAATTAGTGTTATATATTATGCAAAGGTTTGATGGTTGGTTAAAATATTTTTTAATCTGTTAATTTGTCCAAAACCGTAATTTGTCAATTCACAATTGGTTTATAATTTTATTCTCAAATCGCCCGAATTGTACCTTACACACCCCTAGTGGCTTCCGATCGAGAGATCAAAAACAGGGTGCAATTCGTTAAAACACCGCCACCATCACCTGTCTGCAGTGGTGACACTACTGCCTCCAAACCCTGGCCTCAGGCAGTCCACTCTACAAACAATGCATAGATCTGGCCGGATCTGGCCTTCTAGTCTAAATTTTGCTTTTGAGATGAAAGATGCCATCATCATTGCCGTGCTTCTGAGATGAACGGTGCTATCATCATCATCGTCATCATCATCATTCATCTTCTTCAACTGAGCTTCTTCATCCTCCGAACATGTAAAGGAATAAGGGCATTGGGGTTCGGGTTTTCCGACGGTGGCTATGGCAGTGAAGCGGTAGTTCTCAAATGAGGACAGGGTTCTGAGAACGATGAAAGGTTTTACTGATTTTAGGATTTTTCTCATGACAATAGTGGCCATTTGAGAGAGAGAGAGAGAGATCTAAAATGGTTTGGTTAGGAGACGACAGAGCTGGAAAATGGTTAGCCGGAGCCTCGAGAGAGGAGAGAGAGAGAGGGGAAGGGTTTGGTTTGGAAAGATAAACAGAAGAGACAGAGAGAGACAGGAAGGGTTTGGTTTGGAAACAAATGTTTATACAATATATATACATGGGTGTTTTGGTCAATTTGCAGAATGATGTCCTTGTGCACATTATTTTAGCACCTGCACTTTGGACAAAGAAAATTTTAAGTTGGATTTATTGCTTGAATGTCTTGGAAAAAATTTTCAGTTATTAAACTTAATGACAAATGATATTTTAAACATTTTATGTACATTTACATTAAGTCTAATGATTAAAATATTTTTTTTTTTTTTTTTTTTAGTTGGTTTTACCTAATAGAAAACAAATTAAAATATTAGTATTTAAATTGATAAAATAAAAAATTTAAAGTTTATTAGAGTCTTTTAATTTTTTCAAAACTAAATTTGTCAAAGCTTAAATAAAATTTAAAATTTATTAAATTTTTTATACTCAATTATTCAATTTTTTTTTTTTTGAGAACATGGAAAAACATTATATTAATAAAAAATAATAACAGCACATAATCAAGACCTCAAAGAGTCATCCCAACAAAACAAAAAATAAACAATAAACAAAAACAAATAAATCCGTTAAAATAACAGTTACAAGTCAAAAAAAAAAACCATCGATTTTAATTATTCAATTATGTTCGTTTACTGTATACATCTTTTTGCCTGATAATAAACCTGTGCTCATAGTCACAATGAGGGTGCCCAAAGGTGTAAATCTTGGCTCGTTATACATTTCCATACTCTTATTGAACCCTAATAAACAACAAAATATATGCTTGCACAACTATTGGTATAAGCCAGTCTTATATAAGGTTCATTAATATCAAATATACAAGTTTCGTTAATGTCAAACGATTATGCACATCTCACATCTAATTGTAATATAATAGGACAATTAATATAACATTATTAATTAGCGAAACTCAGCATTGAGCCCCATCATCAAACAACCAACTTTTAACTGTTATGGGATTCTCTATACTGTGTTTGGTTGAAGAATTGAGAAAAAAATTTAAAAATGAAAAAAGAAAAAATGCATAAAATTATGTAAATTATAGATATATTTTATTCACATTTTATCTACTTTTTATCTTTTCTCAATTCTTTTCCAAATCTCTCAACCAAACACAGTATAATAGAGTAATTTAGTATAATACAGTAATTTTTAGCACTTCATGGATACTGCCCAGTGGCAGATTACTTTCATGTGATTAGGCAATAGCCACCATTAAATGTTGTGTTAAAACGCATTGATACCTAATAATTTACACGTTAAATTATTTTTAAAATTAAAAAATTAAAAAAAGTCCAAGGATTTTCAACACCTTATTTAATGTTGAAAGTGTATATAAAATGTTTTGAAAATATGTCAACGTTAAAAGGCAAATTAATTTCAGTAAAAATATATTAAATTCAGTAAAAAAATATCTTTTGTTCTTCAAATTTTTTGTCAATTACTTATGCTCTAGAGACATTTATTAACAAGAATAAAAAAAAAATATCCTTAACAACGCATCTTGGGGCACACCTACACAACTTTCTGAAAGGTAACAAGTTCAAATGTATTCGCATTTACGAAAATATGAACAATTCATTAACAAACACTTTATTGTTCTCACAAAAAAAAAAAAAAAAAAAAAAAAAAAAAAAAACTCGAAAGTTTTTTCGGCTAAAAGCACTCATAGGTTTCGACATTAATAACATTTGCCGGTGAAGGAAATTACGGGGAAGCCATAAACATATTTTTATATGCCAATATTATACAAAAATAGAGAATTAAGCACAAACTTCTGGTGTTGACCATTGCAGTATTTTTCAATTTTTTTTTTTTGTAAAAAAAAGAAAAAAGAAAAAGGAAAAAAAGAAAAAGAAAAAGTGAAATGGACAAAAATTGAAAATTGGAGCACAACCGCCCTAAGAAGCAGGTTAGATATTACAGTTTCATGGTTACAAGGGAGGATAAAAATACGAAGATAAAGAAAAACCAAGGAAAAGCAGCCCACCCATTGCAGCAACTGTTTTCTGCGAGATCTTGGATGCAAGCATGCTTCCTCCCACCACTGCCAGCGATGTACAGACCATGTGTCCCAGAATAGCGCCTACTGCGACTCCAATTGCATTTTTGTGGGTAGCCAGCTGCAGAATCATGAGATAAAATCTCTTAACTATAACATGCATACATGCATCAATTGCTTCCTAACAATGTAGAAGTGATTTTTTTTTTTGGCAAAAAATTATCCAATTTGAAATAAATTTCTAATGGCAAGTTTGGGAACAAGACCGCCCCACCCCCCCCCCCCAAAAAAAAAAAAACAAAAACAAAAACACTTCCATCTAAGAGAGCCATGCTTCCTTTGTTCAAATAAGGACAAATGGTTAGATTTAAGATTTAG